ACTGGATTCTTCAAACTTCCTAGTTCTCGGTTCAGAGCTCTTAGTTCACAGAAATACACACTGATGCCCTCAAGATCCCGGAACCACTTTAATCGAGTCTAATCCAGTCCAAAATGACCCTTCCAGGAGTCCACGGGGTCAAATAACCATGGTCCATTCCATGGAATAGTCTGAGACCTAAACAGGGTCTCTAGAACCTGAAACTTCTGCTGGGCTCTGGCTGTGGTTGATCATTTAAAAGCTGCAACCCAAGATGGCAAAAACCAGGTTTCACATGGAGGCCAGAACACCTGGCGCCAGGCCTGACCTGCTCCCAGTCCGCGGGCAAGTTTATCTTTTGGACCAGACTATAAAAGCCTCCATTCAAAACAGAAAATGCTTGCAGAGCTGCCCCAGCCTCTGAAGGGTCTGACTTTCAATCCAGCCACCAGCACTGGATTGAAACTGGGAAACTCTGTTTCTCAGATAAATTAGCTGGTGATCCAGAAGGGGTGCTGGATGGCTGCTCTGTGGGAAGGTGCTGCTACACAGATCTGAAAGACCTTGGATACGGTGGATGGGAGAGTTCTCCCTCTGCTGCATCTTTAAACCAGGTTTTCTTGAGCAGTTCTGAAATGTAAGCACAAGGTAACCTTTGTACACACCAGGTAACCTTCCCTCACTAAAACTTTAGGGGGGGGGGCCAGGGGAAAATGAGCAAATTCTGGGAAACATAACTATGTGGGTAGCTTATAGAAGAAGCCAGAGAATACAAATGCAGGGTTTGTACAAGAAAGAAGTCTGAGTAGGGAGAGAGGGGGCAGAGAATAAGGAGTTACCTTGCATGGGGTCTACCCAGGTGCAAGTCCCAGCATTGCATGTAATCCCCTGAGCACCACCATGAATGATCTCTGTGTACAGAGCCAGGTACAAGACCTGAAGCCCTGAGCACAGTTGCATGTGCCCCCTGGCAAAAAAAAATTTAAAAGAAAATGGAAAAGAAAGTAGTCTGGCTTGCAGGGTATGTAAGTGGCTATGGAACAAGCAAGGAGAGGGTGTGGATTCTGCAGCCAGGCTGCACTCAGAAATGTAAGCATCTCCATGGTGATGTGATCAGCTAAATCCTAATATCTAGCATCACGTTCACAATTCGCATAAGGTCATCCAGTAACTAGCTCCAAACCTGGTTATTCAAAACCTGGTACAGACCCTTTCATTCTCTTAATAAGTTTTCCCCTTTACCCAAGGATAATAGCGATAAGGACCAGGAGGATCGCTCCACGGCTTGGAAGCCAGCCTCATATGCTGAGGGAAAAGGGAGCTGGGATAGAGAAGGGATCACTAAGTAAATGATGGTTAGATGGGGTCACTCAGGATGGGAGATGCGTGCTGAAAGTAGACTATGAACCAAACATGATGGACACTTATTACCTGTATTGCAAACCATAATACTCAAAAGTAGAGAGAGAGAGTAAAAGGGAATGTGCCTGCCACAGAGGCTCCGTGGGGGGGAGGGGGGAGGGAGAGGGATGGGGAGGTGATGAGAGGGATACTGGGAACATTGGTGGTGGAGAAAGACACTGGTGGAGGGATGGATGCTCAATCATTGTATGACTGAAACATAATCACAAAAGTTTGTAAATCTGTAACTGTGTCTCACGGTGATTCATTAAAAAAATTTAAGAAAAAGCAAAAAAAAATGTTTGCCCTTTAATGTGCAACTATTCCTCACAGGACACTCTGCCCCACAAGTGCAGGAGCACCCGCTGACAGCATTCACCCATTCATCATCCATCTACCCACAAATATCGATGTGCTGTGTGTATACCACCAAGGGCATGTGATTGATGAAGGTGAGGTTGGAATCACTCCAAGCTGGAGTCTGCACCTCTCTCCCCAGACTCTCATCATTCAAGAGTTGGTGCCCTTACAGCTCCATTGCCACGAAGATCCTTGGTCCTGGCCTGGTACCGTGACAGGAGGCTTAACCAAATAGTCATTCCCTATGCCTGGTGGCAGGGGTAGACAGAAAGGAATGGAACTTGGAACAACAATGGCCCAGTCTTGGATCACAGGTGTGGCCGTGAAAAATCCAGAGGAGTCAGGCTGTTATGAACATCCACTCAGCCTGAGTTGGCTCAAACTGAGCACTTTCTACAGGCAAAGGAGTCTAGGTGAGACCTGGATCTGCCATTCAGTGACTGTATGACATTGGGTAAACGGTTTAGCCCCTCTGATTCTTTGTCTGGAAAACAGAGAAATAACAGAACCAACTTCAAAGGGCCGTTACGAGGCTTCGACCTGAAACGCTCAACCTGAAGTTCAAGTCTGCTGGCACCGAGTTGGCACTCAGTATTAAGATGAGCAATTATCATCCCATTAGTTAGTCATACTAATCTGCAGAGAAGCAGGCATTCTTCCTGTTTTAACAATACAGTTTTAAGAAATGGAGTGAGCTCGTTCAAGGTCACAAAGTTATTAAGCGCCGGTATAAGCACTGTGGAACTTCAGGGCAGCAAGCTTAGCTGCCAGGCTGGGCCAGTCTGTGGGAGGTTCTGGGCACATAGAGACCAGGGGAGGTAGTGAATACGGGCTATCCATCCTGGGGAAATAAATGCTGCAAAAGAGAGACTGAGAGGAAAAAATGGGGGGAGGAGCTGAGGGCCCTGCAGAAGCAAAAGACCGCTTACCCCTGGAAGAACCTTGAGCATTAATCTCAAAGAATGACAAAGAATTTGCCAGCCAAGGAGACGGGGTATTCCCTGAAGTTAACATGTGGAGTATCAATGGAACAGTGAATGCGGTGGTCAGGGCAGGCCAACGGAGGGAGAAGCACAGAGTGAGGCCGGAAGGTAAATGGTGACCAGTCATGTCTATTCCGCAAGACCATGATTGCAAACTTGAACATGCAAAGGACTGTGCACAACCTTCAGGGCTCATAAAGCATGTGGCTTCCCATTCCTCGTGAGATCAGGCAGGGATCCAGTGTGGCTACTGACAGCACAGCAGCACGGCCTGCTGAGACTGAATCTGTGGGGTCCGGTATGTTCCACGAATAGCTCAAACTTGAACGTAGCTTCAACACAAGCTGCGGCACCCTTGTCAGAGTGTAATTAAACAAAAGTGCTGACTGGAGCGAGGGGAGGATAGGGGACAGAGGCTGAGACAGTCAAACCAACTGCAGCTGATAAGAGGATGAGCTCTGTGAATAATAGCACGCTTCATGAGCTGATACATTCAACCCGTGGGCTGGTGACTTCAGCTCTATTTAAGATTTGGGCTACTTCCTTGTCAAAGGCTGTGCTGTGCATCTTGGGAAAGTTGAGCAGTCTCTCTGGCTTCTGAATAGCAGATGATTAGCTTCCTGTCTACTCCCCAATCCCACTGAATATGTACCCAACCAAAAAATGTTTCTAGACAGTCCCAACTGTCACTTAGGGGGCAAGCGGAAATCCAGGCTGAGAACCACTGCTTTAAGCCGCCTATTTAAATCCAGGCTGAGAACCAATGCTTTAAACCCTCCTACGTAACCAAGGACCAAATTTGTAAAGGAAGTCCCAGAAAGGTTCTCAGCTGAAATTCACCTGCTGGTGGCCTTGTACGCAGGACATCAGCCCTGAGCCACTGTGCTCTAGTGGTGTCTGAAGGGAGAACTTCTCCCCTCAAAAACAAGCAAGCCAGAGACAGTAGAGCATGTAGGGTGCTTGCCTGGCATCCCGCAGATTGGGTTCGATCCCCCCTATCCCATATGGTCTCCTGAGCACTGCCAGGTGTAATTCCTGAGTGCAGAGCCAAGAGTAACCCCTGAGCATTGTCGGGTGTGGCCTCCGTACAAACAAGAACCAAAAATTTGAGTTTTTGGGGGCAGAGGTTAAGGCAGCCTATGGGAGCAGAATTATAGACGCAGCCAGGGCAAAGATGGAAAACATGAAAAAAATGAAGTTGAGAGTGAAACGGCCTCACTTTTGGCCCTGGACTCTGAGACTAGCAGGTACTAAGTACAGAGGAGTATGAAGGAATCAAAAAGTATAAGGTGAAAAAGGTAAGAAAGCTTGGGCCTCCCAGCCGCACCCACCCACCCACCCACCCACCCCGAATACGCGCGTCCCCGTACTCTGGACAGAAGCACCTCGGGTAGACGTGAAGGTGGAGTGTGCACTCCAAACCCGACGGCACGGAAACCAAGGCCGGCCCCCGCCCCCCTCCCCGTCAGTGGTGTGACCCCGGACTTCACCTCTTAGCATCTCGTTTGGCCCTTTTGTTCAACATCAATCAATGAATGAATTAAAGGGTGGAGACCCTGCGGGGAGACTGAAGCGGGAACTCGGCCACCGGGCACCCGGGTCAGCGCGCCCGGGGACGCTTTCTCCCGGGGCAGCCCTGGGCGCGTCGTGTCTCTACCGAGTCCGAGCCCCGCGGCCCCCAGCTGCCCCTACTCGCCGTGCCTGCCCCGAGGCTCTGAGCGCGATTCCCCCGCGGCCCCAGATTCCCTCTCAGCCGACAGAGCGTCCCCGGCAAGGCTTTAGAGGGCGCCAACACCCTTCCCCTCCGCGACAAGCCACGCTGATCTCGGAGTTTCTGGGGTCCCCCAAGCGCGCGGCGAGCAGGGTGCCTGCGAGAGGAGCGGGCACGAGGGTTTTCGGGGACCCCCGCGCCCGTCCGCGCGGCCCGCACAGCCTCCTCCAGGCGGAGAGAAGCGCCGAGATTTGCCAAGGAACCGACCTCGGAAGTCGGGCTGCGGCGGCACAGCGCGGAGCCGTGCCGTCCTGGGGGGCTGGGGGTGGGAGAAAGAAGTCGGGGAGCAGGGAAGCAACAGGAACTTTGGAGAAAGATGAGGCCAGAGGGGGGTCGCAGAGAAGCAGCGTTTCCCGCTGCACCCCCCCCCCCCCCCGGGCCCCCCAGCACCTGGGCAGTGATCGGGAACAAAGCGGCGCTGCCAGGTCTGGGGGGTCCCGGGCCTGGCGAGGAGCGCGCGCTCCGGGGAGCTGGGGGAGCCCCCGGGAGCACCGGGCGCTGCTTACCTGGACGGGGGCGCGCACTTCCGGGGGGACCCCGAGGCGGGACCTGGCGCCGCCAGGGGAAGCGCTGCGGGGCAGCCGCCCTGGGCGCGGGGTCCAGCGTCGGAGTCACGGGCGGCCGCGCCGGGCCCCGCAGACGCCGGAGGAGCCCGAGCGAGCGGGAGGAAAAGGTTGTCTCATTTCCTTCGGCCCCCACCCCCTCCACCCCGCGCCTCCGGACCTGCCCTCCCCGCGCCCGCCCCTTCCCCAGCCCGACGCGCCACGGGAACGGCCGCGCCACCCGCGCCTGCCTCTGCGCCCGGGCAGTTCCAGCTCCCCGCTCGGGCCGGCGCCCCGCGCTTCCCACGGGCTCCCCCGCGGCCCGCCCCGGCCCTCCCCGCCGCCCCAGCCTCTCCCCTACCCCGACGCGCGCAGGTTTGCAGGCGCACCTCCCGAGGACCGCGAGCATCCCTCCTGACTGGGGAGAACCCTGTGCGAGACAGGAAATCAGGAGTTGGTTCAATTTGATCAACTTTTTTTTTTCCTCCCGCCCCCAGTGGGGCGTTTAAAGCCTGATGCATAATCTCGAAGGAATGCTCCTTTGGATCGGAAGGAGCGAGGCCGAGTTCTTTGTTAGGGTTGGGGTTTTGTTGGTTAAAATCAACTACTGTTTATTGAGAACCTGATAGGCGCTAAGCCGGACTCTGGAAACTTCCAAACAAAACCAGAAGGATCTGTTCCTGTCCCGTGTCCCCACGGGTAGACAGTGCCTTAGGGTCCCCTACTCCCCACTCCCTGGTAGCTGGCGCAGTGCCAGGCTCCAGATCCCAGTGTCTGTTCATGGGAACAAGGTACTGGAACGGACCGGAATGTGGTCCAAGGATCTGTGGCAAAGGACTGGAATGGCCTGTCTGTGCACTAGAGGCTAAGGAAGGAAGGAGAAAGCACCATCCAGGGGGAGTCTAGCAGAAAACTCAGACAACTGGGGAAGTAATTGTTGAGCCTGTCCAAGAAAGAATGTGTTGACAGACATGTGGTGAAGAAGGATCTCTCACCTATTGCTGGACATACTGTGGTCTGGTCCAACCCCTGTGGAAAGTCTTATGAAGGGTTCTCAGTAAACTCAGAATTGAGCTGCCATGTGACCCAGCAATTCCACTTTGTGGTATCTATCCCCAGGTCAGAAAAACATTCATTTGAAGAAACGTGTTGCACACCCTCGCTCATTGCAGCTCTGAGTACAATAACTAAGATTTGGAAGCAACCTAGATGTCCAATGACAAATGAGCGGATCATGAAGATGTGGTGTATATATACTCAATGGAATACTATGCAGCTGTAATGAATGATAAAATCATGCATTTTATAGCAGCATAAATGGAACTGGAAGATATGTCAAATGAAGTGAGCCAGAAGAAGGATAAACACAGGATGATATCATTTATATGTGGTATTTAGAATAACGGGGTGAGAGAATGTAATGGTTTACAGGGTGGATTACTAGATCACCCTTGCCCCAGAGTATAGGGAGAATGAAAGAAATAGTGTGAAGGGGGGGGGGGGGGTCGAGACAGATGAGAAGGAATAGGGCAGGGAGGGGTGAAGGGAATTCAGGTACATTTATGGTGCTAAGGAATGATTGAGACAAGTATCAAAACCACAGAGTCCACAACACCAAAATCATGAGGCCCAAACTTTAACAACCTGAGCTTAAAAAGGTGCCTGAGCAAAGCCGGCCTCACATACTGGGGAAAAAGGCAGCTCAAATAGAGAAGGGACCACCAAGTAAAGGGTGCTAAGAGGGCCCGCTCAGGATGGGAGATGCATGCTGAAAGTATACTATAGAACGAACACGATGGCCACTTAATACCTCTGTTGCAAACTACAACACTCAAAGGGGGAGAGAGAGAGAGAGAGAGAGAGAGAGAGAGAGAGAGAGAGAGCGCAAAAGGGAATGCCCTGCCACAGAGGCAGGTGGGGTGGGGGGGAGAGGGTGGGGATGCTGGGAGGGATGCTGGGACCATTGGTGGTGGAAAATGGGCACTGGTGGAGGGATGGGTACTCGATCATTGTATGACTGAAACACAAGCATGAAAGTTTGTAAATCTGTAACTGTACCTCACAGTGATTCACTAATAAGAAATTTAAAATAAATAAATAAATAAATAAATAGGTGCCAAATTTTGTTTAAAAAAAAAGGTGCCCGTGAAGAGAGCAAGCTAGGAGGGGGAGGGGCCGTAATGGGAGGGAACCTAGGAACATTAGTGGAAGGAAGTTGACAGTGGTGTGGGATTGGTGCTGGAACATTGTATGTTCCAAAACCCAGCTGTGAATGACTTTGTAAATCATGGTGCTTTGATAAAATAAAATAGCAGAGACAGACAGACAGACAGAGAGAAGAGAGAGAGAGAGAGAGAGAGAGAGAGAGAGAGAGAGAGAGAGAGAAGAGAATGGGGGCCATAGAGAGCCGTGGGACAATGGGGTTGAATAGCTTTAAAGACTTGGAGAGTGGAAACGAGCTGATTCCTGGGAGAGGTGATGATTTCGGGCTCCGGTTCAAGTCACCCGTGAGCAGTGGCACTCTTGGAATCTCAGAGCTCCTTCTGGAGCTACTGCTCCGTGTGTGTGCCCAGAATTGTAAGTATCAAAATCAGCTGGGAGTTGGTTGGAAGTGGAAACCACCAGTCCCGGTTGATCTCTGAAATCAGAGTCTGTCTTTCAACACGATTTCCAGATAAATGTGCCTTCGAATGCTGGATGCATTGCTCTCTGCATTCTGTAGTAACCCCAAATGTCAATGAGAAGCACCTAAAAAGCCTAGAAGACCGATGTCAGGCCCGTGTTTCACCCCACATAAATGCTTATTTAATTGGCTTGGGGTGGGATGACAGCATCAGTATTGTGGAAATGCTTTCCAGATGACCTAATATAGTCAGAGTGCAGAGAACCACTGATCTAGACTTACCCAAAAGTTACTGCATTTACCTTTCTAATGCAGCTTTTCCAAAAAGAAAAGAACACACCTGGATGGATGAAGGCTCAGAGACCCCTATTTCGCTTATACAGAAGTAGTCAGTCTGCTGAAAAGGGGCTTTGTGGCCTGAACTAATCGGGGAAGCAGGTTCTGGCCTCAGGTGGCTAATGCATTACTGTCTGACCTTGAGCAGAGACCCCCTTTTGCATCTCAGTTCTCCTACCTATAAAGTGGACAGCTTACTGACTGCAGACTCCAAACCCTGGTGTTTAAAATGCTGCCATTAGAGCAATCGCTAAGTCTCTGACTTGATGTGCCAGGCCCCTTAGAAGGTGTTATCTCGTGGATTTCCCTAGAATAATACCACTCTGTGTAGCCGTTCAGAAAATTTCAGAGAGTAAAGGATTATATGTCATGCACAGGGTATGTATTGTGGAAATGCTTTGATAAATGTGTGCTAAGTGAATGCCTGCATAAAAAAAGTAGGGCACAGATGCCAGTGGGTGCATGGCCTTTCCCTATACTGACCCTAATACAGGGCTGATTCATTTGCCTGCTAAGCTGCAGGAAGGGCATTTAAAAACCCTCTGATGCAGAAACGTAATTTGGGATTTAGAACTGTTACAGGACCGTTTCAGGACTAACATTTTTTGAATGCTCTGTACAAACCAGGAATGAAACTCAAAAGTGCCACTTAGAATCAATCGCTTTATTTCCTTATAATGAGGCTACGGGGAACCTTGCACTGCAGCTGCTTCAGGAAACAGCTATGAAGGCACAGGCACTGCTTCTGGAGAAGCTTCTGCCACTGGTTTTGTGGCTGGTCCTGGGTAGCCAAGATCTGTCTCTGGGATGCTTCCAAACCATTCTCCGGTGCATGCATCCTTGCAGAGACCAACCATGAAGGAAGGCTTTGGAGTAACTGCTCTATGGTTCGAAAGAAACAATTGAATTGCCCCAGAAAGCCAGTTCAGGGAATCCTATTTAGCTATGGATAAATCTTGGAAAATAAATTCTCAAAACTACTGGCTTGATGGGTTTGTATATATATTTGTGGTGTGTGGGGGTGGGGGAGGGGGAAGGGTGTACATGTGTGTGGGTGTACTTGAGCACATAGTACCCTTTTGGAGGGAGGGAAATTGGTCCACACCCAGAAGTACTGGGTTCTGAGCATGGGGGAAGGCTACTTCTGACTTTGCTATGGTGGGAAAAATCACCCCAGAGTTTCCAAGGGACTGTGTTGGTGGCAGGGATTGAACTTGAAACTCTAAAGCAAAACTTGACTCTTTGAGCTCTCTCTACAGCTCAGACACATGCTACCTCTTTTGTTGCTTTGCTTTTGGGATCCCACCTGGCAGTGCTCATATGGGCTCTCTCCTGGCTCTGCACTCAGGGATCACTTCTGCTAGGCTCAGGGGACCACAGGGGATGCCGGGGATTGAACCCAGGTCTGGAGCATGCAGGGCAAGCACTTCACCCGCTATGCTCCCGCCCAGCCCCCACTGCTGCCTTTTAACTAGAGCTTCTCAGGTGCCAAAGCCCACACTTGTCCTTCCCACATGTTTCTTTTCACCCTCACAGCATCTGGTGGGTTGAATATTTCTGCTTTCCTGTTTTATAAATGAGAAAACAGATGCAGAAAAGTGAGCACCTGTTTGTCTCTGAGCCTGTTCCTTTTATGAAAAAAATTTTTTAACTAAAATAGTTTTATTTGGGGGAATATAAAGAAGAGAGAGTAGTAGAAATTGCAGACTTCTGCTTCCCTTTACCCCAACTCTTCAGCAGTGCACTTCATCGCCACCGTTGTCTGTCCACACAGCCCTGCCATAGCAAGGACAGCCCATATTTCCAGCCCCATTCAGTTGTTGCAGTTATACCTCATCAAAACCAGGACCAGAGGCAAATGCTCTGCATGCACAGGATATGAAGCACTGAGTGGATCACTGGAGACCCTCATGCATCACCAGGTGTGATCCTAATGGTCCCTAAGCACCACCACGCTGGTACGCCCTGGCTCTGCTGGACCTGGGCACTGCTGCATCCTTGGCCTGGACATTGAGCACTCTGATCAGATTAGACAGCACCCTAGGAGTGTCCCCAGGCTCCTGACCACTGCTTTAGTCCCCCTTCCTCCCAATAAATGAAAACTGTCTCATTTCCCCTCGTAAAATCATGTGTCCTTAATTGCCCTTTTTCGAAAGTATTGTTTGTCACTTAACACTCCAGAGCCTACAAGGAAATGAGAGGAGATACCTCAGAAACTGTAAAGAGAAAATGGGGTGATTTATCCCCAAGGTGAGAGAGTCCAGTGCTTTACCACCAGCAGATTCACCATCAAAGGGAAAATGAGATATTTTTGCCCCTAGAATATCTTCAGCAGATGGCCAGTCACTGACTCGTGGCACTGCCCACTCGTACTGCACTCCCACCCCACTTCCAATTCTCTAAGGTCTACCAGACTGACTGTAAGGATGAAGGTGGATGAGGGCACAGAC